GTAAATTTTTAATGCTTTTAATTTTTTTATATTATTATCGTTGCTAAAATGGTTTGAAGAAATTAATGCAATACCTGAGAAAATCATTTTGGCCAGACGGAGAAGCCATGTAAAATTAGCGTGGCATTCAACGTGTTAAGAACTAAATCACTTTCCCGAAATACACTTCAAATGTTCATCCTGAAGTTTGTAAACAAGTGATCAAATAAATAAAAAAATATTGCCTCGTGATGCTGTGATTTGGCACTACCGCCATAAAAGGCACAGCTCATAACGATGTGAAATGCGCTTTACTTTATCACAGAAAAAAATTTCTGCCATAAAAATATATTGCTTATTATGCTGTAAAATAATAATTGCAAAATAAACAAAAAAAATTTGTCAAAAAAACGTAGCTTAATTTAATGTAAAATGTACGTTACATTGATATTTAAAAAAACTGTCTCTAAGGAAAAAAAAAACGTAGCTTATGAAAAAATGCGCATGACACATTTAACAGGAAAGAAAAAGCCTTAGCATAATTAACACGTGATGAAATAAAATATGTTTTATCAATTTAAAATGAAATCTAACAAGAAGCATAATCATATGCTGAACCTACCTAAATTAAATTTTCAAGCAATTAGCAATTGCAGAATTAATCTGGTGGAGTAAAAGCCGAAACTTTTCTAATCGATTTTTTAAAAACATTGGCGCTGACTAGCGAAACGCTGACTTTCATTCATCTCCAAATTACATGTATATTAACTGCCACTAGTTTCTGGTTCAGGCTCGAATCCCAGCTTTAGCTGATTGATACGAATTCTACTCCCGGCTCACACCAACCACAGTTCTGACGTAAAATATTCCCAGTGGTAGACGGATCATGGGTTAAAATGCCTTTTCCGTTAAGCTAACGGTGAGAGGTTTTAGTGGTTTTCCTCTAACTCAAGGGTGGGCTAGTTCCATCAAAAAAGTCATCCCTGAAGGCTTGTTTTTCCCCATGCTTTATCCAGGAGTTTCCTCGTCTTCTGAATTGGGTTCTGGAAATTGAACATTCTAAACTCAGAATCGGATCAGCTGTTGAACTCCGGTAATAAAATGAAATATAACATCAATAGTTTGATCAAAAATGCTGAGTTCTTCCAGTTTTATTAATACTACCCGATTTTGTGCAACTTGCTATGTTATTTAATTTTTTATCTGTCGTCGCCTTCATTTAATCTTAATGTCGATTTATTTTTAGTTTTTTTACAAATTGTGTTTTCGGAGTTTTAAGCTTCAATTATTAAAAAAAAAATGTGAATAAACATAACCTCAATGCAACAATGCGGCCAGATTACTTAACGCTATTACTACAGCAGGCGTATGTAACATCTTCCACAGATGTGAATTGTCATAAAAATGACAATATATGTTGCAGTGCATATTTTCTTTGAAAGCAATTTTTTTATCAACCCAATGAAAGCAAACTTATAACAAATGTTATTCATTTTTTATTTTTTGATGAGCTTTAACCTTTGATATTACTGTGATTAAAATAAGTTTTATTGTAATTGCAAAATGTTCAAACTTATACTCGTATCCATTTGCTTTCTTTCTTCTTTTTTTTAATGAAGAACTAGAATAAAGTAGTATAATTTTTTAACCTTTTTTTTATTTATTTATTTTTTTTTTTTTTTTTAATTTCTCCGTTACGCATATTTTGTAAATCTGACATGGAAAAAATTATTTTCCTTTAACTAGTTTTGTCCAAGATTAAATTAAATTTTACAAAAATCCAAAAATATTTATAAAAATCCAAATTTTTATTTTTTTTTTAAATATATACTCGTATTTTATATATGTAGTCACCTCCTTTATTTATTTATCTTTTAATGAAGAGCTATAATGAATTTATATATATTTTTTTAACCTTTATTATTTAATTCGACGTTACGCTTAATTTGTAAGTCTGACGTGGAAAAATTAATTGTATTTAATTAATTTTGTGTGAGGTCAAATTAAATTCATTGCTTTCTTGTTGCGTTTTGTGAGAAAAATAAAAATGTATTTTGTTAATGATTAGGAATGAACTGAAATTTCTCTTGCGTATGGAAATAAAATACAAGGGATTAAATACGTAAGAAATAAAGTACGTAATAAAATAAAATACGTATGAAAATAAAATACAATTGAACGAAGGGATAATATTTTAAATATTTATATTTTAAAAACTACATTATAATAAATCATGCACGAAATTATAAAAAAAATGTATTAAGCTTTTTAACAGGGACAAATATTCGATATGTAGCCCTATAGTTAAACAGCAAACATTTAATCTGTAATTAAGTTTGTCTTACACATTTTGTATTTGTGAGGTGAATGAGGTGAACCGGGTTCGAATCCCAGCGATGGCTGGTCGATACGAATTCCGCATCCGGCTTGCACCGATCTCAGTGTTGACGTGAAATATCCTCAGTATTAGACGGATCATGGGTTAGAGTCTACTTGACGTCAGGCTAACCGTGGGATGTTCTCGTGGTCTTCCTCTCCATGTAACGCAAATGCGAGTTAGTTCCATCAAAAAAAAGTCCACCACGAAGGCAAATTTCTGCCAATACTTGATCCAGGAGTTACCTTGTCTTCTGGATAGGGTTCAAAATTACAAGGCTTCGGAGTTGATTATCAGTACTCGTAAACCCACAAAAATTAGGTTGGTTGTTCAACAACGGTTGTAAAACTATAAAATAAAAACCTAGAGCAAGAGTCGTGGTGGTTCAGGGGATAGAGCGCTCCCCTCCCAATGAGGTGAACCGGGTTCGAATCCCGGCAATGCCGGGTTGATTCGAATTCCACTGTGCTGAAGTAAAATATTGTCCCCTTGCCGTCAGGATAACCATGGGAGGTTTCCCCTGTCCATATAAATCAAATGCGGGTTAGTTCCATCAGAAAGTCCTCCACGAAGGCAAATTTCTCCCAATACTGGATACAGACTACGGATTTGAATATTAGTAGTCGTAAACTCAAAATATTGGGTTTTACTGTTCAACGACGGTTATTAAAAAAGATATAAATAATAATAATAATAAATTGTAAATATTATGGTATGATTACTCTGGACTACGCAGTAGAGAAGTTATCCTGCAATAATTGGTTTGCAGTTAGTTTGAAAAAACAATTTCAGCATTTGAAACTTAAAGTTTATTTACCCTTGATTTACCTGAACTCTTTTGTATTGGAACTTTAAATTTTGAAAACCTAATGGAGGTCATACAGAATTCGCAATGAAAACTATTTCTCGATGTATAGTGTCCTCTTAAACATGCAGATGACAAGGTATTTACCCTAAATCACATGGCCTGGCCACCAAGATTTACGAATCTTATCGTATGTGATTTCTTTTTGCGGAGTTTTATGCTGATAAAAGGTGAATTCATAGAAACTCAGAAACATAATTGTGATCATTACTTGCTTCCACTTTCAATTGACTTTAATTTCAATTATGCAATTATTTTTCAATTTACATTTGACATTCTACTCTTTCGGGAAAACTGTTTTTAAGTTTGGGCAATCATATCATACTATATTTGGGCATTTTAATCTTTATGTATTACAAATTTTCTGCATCCTAAATAAGGTATTGAGTTTAAGAATCGTATAAAAAGGATCAATTACTGCCTTATTGTGGTTGCAGCAAATGTGAGCGACATTAAAAGAACGGTATACCGCGAGAACAACTCTCCATGGCAAATTCTGTTTCTTTTCCATTGGTATTTTAAAATTTAATGTTTAGATGGAAAAAAAAGAATTCAGATAAATCCAGAGTAAACTGTGAAGTAACAAATGCTAAAAAAAAAAATTTTTTTTAATTGAATGCTAAATTCTGACAGGATTACTTCCCCACTGATTAAAACTGAGTAATCCTGCCACAATTTAGCTTCCTGCCAGGCAAATCTAAAATGAACTGAGAAGTTCAAAACGCTGAAAAATTATGGCAGGATTACTTACCCACTGGTTAAAACTAAATAATTTTGCTATAATTTCTTTGTAATTTGAAAACATATTTTCAGCATTTGAAACTTTATATTTTACTGGTAGGTTTACCTGCACTGACTTCTCTCTAAATCAGTGGTTTCTAACTGGCGGCCAGGGGGCCGCATCCGGCCCGCGAAGCCTTCTATTTTGGCCCGCGAACTAGAATATATTAGTTATCATTTTTTTGCGGACAATTTTCGTAAAAAATCTATATGGGTTTCAAATACTTTTCTCGTTAATAAAGACCTAATTTCTTCGTTTCTGTGAAATTTATCATACCAACGGTGCAACAAAAAAAAAAATTCCCAGGTTTTGCATCCAGGAAAATATTTATTCAAATACAAAAATAATCGTGTATGTTGCTCTTTTTTATTTCATTTTTTTTTTGTATTATGTGAATATAATTTAGCATGTGTGTATCAGAAATTTTCTCGAAGGAATTCTCTGATTTAACTTTTTGAAACCAAGCATTTTGGATGAAAATATTTACACACACATTTGTAAATTTTAAATGCAAATATCTATTCTCTGATGGTTGCAGCAGACAAACCTCAAAGTTTTATATCTTAACAATTAAATATCTGTTGCACATTAATTGTTTAATACATGGGTGCACATTAAAGTTATTGTATCCCGAATTTTTTAACATGCAATTAAATATTTTTTTAAAATCTACTTCTTATTTTAATTTGTAATTCAATACTTTTGTTTTGTACAACTTGGTAAAAATCTGACAGTAATGTTTAATATTCCTTCAAACATAAAAGAGTCCTAAATAAAATTTTGCTAAAGTTGCGGCCCGCCATTTGATTTCTGTTTTTAATTGTGGCCCCCGGCCTCATGTAAGTTGGAAACCCCTGCTCTAAATTTAAATTTTTAAATTACTTATGCAGGGGAATGAGATTTCCCATGGATGGTATTGCGTTTTCTTATAATTAAGTTTTTAACAACGTAATGCTTCTTTAATGATTTCTACAATGATTAATTTTCTTTGATTTCAGGCAATGGACGAAGACGATGATGAGGAAGATAACGATGAACCGATCGACGCAACGATGCCGAATCGGGGACTGGCGACCACCAACGGTCAGGCGTCCCGGTCAGCCGGACAATCGCCGCACAACAATTGCCATCCGAGCTCCTCCAGCTCCATGTCTTCGCCCTCGGCGATCGTGACCACAACGGCCGCTGCACTCGCTGCTGCCGCTGGTTCCCTTTCACTCAATCAAGTACGTCCTCCCTGCACCCCTCTTCACTGGACATAAACAACGTTCACTCATCTGTAAAAGTTAACAACATTAATTTGTAACTGCGACCAACAATCTCTATAAAGATACCTTATTATCTCCTACCTGTTGTAATCGTTTAGCAAAACTTCACTAGTTAGGACTTCTATATTGTTTTAAAATTTTGGTACTCAGTTTCTTCGTCGGAAACATATTTTATTAATTTTTTTCGAACGTTTAAAAAAAATAATTATCTGTTCTTTTTGACTAAGAATCTTTCAAAAATTCCTCACCCTCTTTTTCTTAAAATTAACAACTGAGATGAAGATAGATTTATAATGACGCTTTATAAGTATTATTTCTTATAAAATGGCACATACAGTAATGCTTGACTTGTTAAAAATTCAATAAATTTTTTAAATTTGAAAAAAATTAAGCTAAATTAAAATTTCTTATCTTTTATCTGCTATTATTGGAGAGAATCTTAACGTAATTTTTTTTTCCTTTTTCTTAAAATTTTTTAACAACTGAGCTGGAGATAGATTTATTCAAAAAATATAATGACGCTTTGAAACTATATGTTATAATTTTGTCATAAAACGGCAAGCTTGACATAATTACATGTACACTGTTTTAAAATTTGGATCTAAATTAGCTTTTTAATATTTTAGCAGTTATTTTTTTTTTTTTCCTTTTTTCTTAAAATTACTTAACAACGAAGATAGATTTTTTTTTAGATTTTTCAAAACTTTAACGACAGATTAAAATTATTTATTTGCATAAAGACTTTAAGGCTAATAAAAATATTTCTTTAAAAAAAATCGAAAAATTATATATTTAAATATGTTATATTTTATTTTTAATTCTTAAGGCATATTGTTCTGTAACAAACGGGATTTGTAATTGTGTTATTATCAGCAAAAAAGTGGTATCCACAAAATTAGTATTTAAGCCTGAGTAAAAGGTTTGGGACCAGCAGTAGTTGTTTTTAAAAATATACATATACTACCGTAAATATTTTGGCAACTATGGGTGATACTCTGTTTGGATTTTATATTTTAAGTACAAATATAATTCTGATATCTAGCAGATTCTTTTAGTAGCTATTAGACTGTTTTTTATAATTAAAAAGTACCAAGATATATTTTTGTTTGTAATTAGGGTGTCAAAATATATATATATAAGGGACACCGGTGTCCCATCTGCGTCAAAGGGTTAAACAGCAAAATTGACTAAACCTCGGTTGCTACAAAGGCACAAAACAGAGCGTTTTAATTTCAGCGAGCAACGACCTGGAACAACCAATGAATACAAATAATTTTTTCGGTTTAAAAAAAAACTGGAATTTGGAGGAACCAGATAGATGAAAGTACCATTGGCATGATATAAGAACGGAAGAAAAAATTATTCTGTCATAACCTAAGAATATTTTGCTCACAGTGATGTTGGTTCAATCGCGTTCGTTTCGGGTAAAATGAATTCACTAGCTTACATATGCAGTAAAATTTGGCTAGTTAGAACATTTTTTCACGTTATTTTAAAATTTGATACTAAACTAGATTTGTAATCTCTATAAAGTAGACTAATAAGTATTCTTTTATAATTTTTTTTTCCTTTTTCTTAAAATTTTTTAACAACTGAGATGAAAATGGATTTATTCTAAACTATAACGACACATTTTAAATATTTTATTTATAATTAGTTATTCTAACATTTGGTAAAACTTGACTAGTTAAAGCTTTACACTAGTTTAAAATTCGGTAATGTCTTAAAATACTCAACTAGTTAAACCTTGTAGTGTATATTTCATTCTTTTATATATATATAAAAATCACTTGAAAAATCTTACCAGTTATTTCTTATGGGATATCTTTTCTTAAAATTATTAGGACGATATTAAAAAGTAGAAAGACGCATTTAAATAATTAATATTTGATTAATTTTTAATTAATGGAAATATATTTTAAGTACATATCACATTTTTAAAGATGTGTATATCTATTAGAATACAACTCAACATTGAATATGATTCAAACATTTTGAATATTTTTAAAACGATTTTTATTGAACAAAAAAACTGTCATTCCGCTTATTTACAAAAGTATAAAAAAAAAGGTTAAAATATTGTAAAGAATTTTTCGCAACATACAAACTACCAAAGTTAATTATTTCGCTAAAAAAACTCTTGAAGTGTGTTATTTTATTAAAAATAATTAGTAAAAAAAAATATAATAATAAAGTTTATGATTCTTGTTACAAACGATATTTAAAGGATAACGTTTTCTACTATTTTTTAACATCTATCTTTTCTATCTTTTTGACATTTCAAATTATTTCTATGAGGGAAATATAAGTTCTTTTGAGTAATGAAATTCACAGCATGACCTTTGCAAATTGCTTAGTTAAATTTTAAAGCTTAATCAGTTCGATAAAATATAAATATTTAGATTGAATATACTTTAAGATAATATCCTTAAATAAAATTAAAAGGAAACTTATCTTAGTTTTAAAAAAAAATTTACAAATACTTTGCCTGATTTTAGTAGTATTTCAGATTTATTGAGCAATTTTTTCTGTCAGTTTTATTTTCGTCATATAATTATAGTTCTAATAATTTTTTCCTCTTGTGTAATTATCGTTTCCTTGATATATATCAATGTTCTTAAGAGCCTCATTTAAGATCTTAAGAAAATTAGATGATTAAGAAGTAAAGTTAGTTGACGTCTTAAATACATAATTTATGAGATTAAATTTTATTGCCGTTTTTTTGCGTGCGTAATTGAAATTATGTAAATGACGTTTGCTAGATAATTGTTTATCTTTAAATTCTCTCCTATGAATAAAACAATGATATAATAAATAATTTTTAAGAATAGATAACCATGAATTTAAAATCAAGAAGAATGCACAGATTTTTATTACATATAACTGTTATTTAAAGTGGACGTTAACTTTGAAAGCTGCATCTGCATGGTAATTCTTATAAGTACATTATTGTTTATTTGAAATCTTCCATATCATTAAAATATTTTATATAAATAAAATTGTTTTCATCTTTTACTATCAGGTTTTGTTTGTTTACAGTTTAAGGTAATTTAAAGTTACATAATTTATTTATTGTATAAATATTATATTTGTTATATATCTATTTGAAAAATTTTACAGATTTTAAAGTAGTATAGTTTGTAATTTAGTAAAAATTTATTTATTTTTTTAATTTTAAAATTCAGTTTATAAAATTTTTTTTTAATAATGTTTAAATGAAACTGAAATATTTGCATTCGAATTTTTCATTATTTCTGCATTTAAAATTCATTTTTATTTGTTTTTTATAGCTGTTAGCAGCTGGTGCTCAAGGGCAACAACAAATGTTAATGCAAGCAGGGCTTGCTGCTCAGCAACTTGGGAAGGTATGATATTTTATCTGTACAGAGAAAATCTATATCTATACATATACATTATAAAATAATAACATGCTAATAGACTTTTTTTAGATGTTTAGTACAAACATCCATTCAATACTAAGCAATTTTTGTTAATTATTTATTTATTTCTGTTTCCTGAAATGTGTTTTCTGACAATTTTTTTACATACTCAGTAATCTAATCTAAAAATAATATAATAGTAATCTAAAAATATTAATTACTTTCACAACTAGCATCATATTCCAAAGTTAATCATTTTTGTGCATTTTTTCAATGTTAAATTTTAAGATGTTTAAAATATTTATTACTGTTTAATATTCTCAATTGTAATTTTCATACTTAATTAACTTGATTCAATTAGTTTCTTCATTCTGCTTTCTTGCTATTAAAATTTTCAAAAATTATTAATTAACTTAACAATTATTTTTTTATGCATTATTAATTTGAATTTAATTTTTTTTTTTCATTGTAATTTCTTACTATTCTTCTGTTTGCTTGTGGACTAGAATAAAATACTTCTGTCTGCTTGTGGACTAGAATAAAATACTTCTGTCTGCTTGTGGACTAGAATTTTAATTGAACTGCAATTTAAATTTGGTAGAAATTTACTCATTTTTAAACTTCAAATTAATGGTTGAAATTAATCATTAGTGGTTTGATTCATTAATGGCCAAAAGTGATCAAATATGTAAACAATATTAAATAAAGAAAATGAAAAAAATTCATAACTAATAGAAATATGTATTGATAATTCTGTTACAAAATATTTTATTTGTTTATTTATTTACTTATTTTAAATTTGAGAAAGAATTATTTTAGATTTCAGTGTGTAATATAAAAATTAATGCATTATGGTTTTTAAATGTTGCATTATTACTACTTTAATTCGTGCAAAAACATGAAATACTATACTATATAAATTTTTACTAGCATTATAATTTATTTTTTTCAAACTTAATTTTAGTTCTAAATGGCATAAGTTTAAGTACTTTTTTTCTAGTCCGGTTTTATTAAATTTCATGCATGTGAACTTTAATAAAAAAAATTTAAAAATTCTTATCGTGAAATAAATGTGTAGTTTAATCTAGTCATTAATGATAATAAAAATTTAAATCATGATGTCTTAATTACATTTTTAATTTCTTTTCCTTAATTCACTGAGTAGTTATAAAGTGCTAAAAGAATATTCCTAAATCACATGTCATAGGATTTAGCTTCTTCTTTTCACAACTTTAATATTTTTATTTATCATTGCGTATATTTTGTGTCAAAGCATAATCCAAAACCTGGCATTACTTATTAAGTTCTATTTTATATTACCATAATTTTGATATGAAAAATTGTATTTGTTTATTTCGTATATGGAAAGTTGGAGCCAAAACTGATAAATCCAATCTCATGTTTATCAGATTTTGTTCCAAATGTCTCCAATTTCAATAGAATTTTATGTACTATTTTTAATAAATTATTATATCTGTCGAGTGTTGATGGGTGCGAGTTCTGATAATATATTTTTTAAGTTTTGTTTTGATCATTCCCTTGCAAAATTTTTATTTATTAATATGCAGGGCAGGGATCAGAACAAAAAGCAATTATGTCCAATATTGTCTTTTGTGGAATTTGTCTCTACCTTTGACAAATTTAGAGCTTAAAAAATTTTATTTGTTGTGTTTTATTTGCTTTTTTTTTTTTTTTTTTTTTTTTTTTTTTTTTTTTTTTTTTTTTTTTGTTATAAGTTGTGTTGGGGGAAAATTCACAAATTCAAAGCTTAAAAAAAAAAAATTTTGTCAAGTTTTATTTGTTTGTTTGCTTTATTTGTTATAAGTTGTGCTGGAATAAAATTTAGTATAAGTTTAGTGAGTGTGATTTCTACTTTCCTTAATTATAAATATAAAGCATTTTTATTTATTGTAAAATGGGAAAGGCTAAGACGAAACAGATAATTCTAATATCATATACATTAGGTCTTTTCCCAAATTTCTCCAATTTTAACAAAATTTTAATGCTTTTAATTAATTATATGTGTTAAGCCCAATACTATATTTATAGAAAATTTTATGATTGAGTTTTGTTTTGTCTTTTATTTGTAATAATTCTAAATAATATTTCAAAATAGTTATATGTAATTTACCTATAATATTAGAATAAATTCCAATATTATATTTATGGAGATCTGTTTGGACCATCCAGATAAAACATTTTTATTTATTTTATGGAAGATGAAAACAAAAGAGATTAATTAGAAGATTTTATTGAGTTTTGTTTTGAACTTTCTTATTTGTTATCAAAATGTTGTCATACATAATTAAAATCACAAAATAACATTTTTCTTTCTAGCTACCTTTAAATTCAGGGTTACCTGGTCTGCAACTAAATCCTCAGGATATTCAACAGTTACAGCAGCAATTGCAGCAAAGTATGCAGCCGTTTGTGTTTCTGCAGCCTGGTCAGTTACCTGCAAATATGCAAGCTCAGCTGTTTCTCCAAAATCAGGTCTCTGTACTTTTTGTTTGTGTTTTAAATTTTTTTTTTAATTTTTTTCCTTTAAGAAAACTTATGCGAAATTTCAAGGAAGTTTTATGTTTGAAAATACCTCAACCTGTGATGTTTAAAAATTAAATGTTTTTCAATATTTATTTGAAGAAGTTATAATGTCTGAAATTACAATCTACTTTCTTTTGCGAAAATCTTTTTTTAAAATCTGTGAAAGTTTATTTCACCTCAAAGCACGGAAATGTAAAAAGTACTTTATATTTTTATTAATGTAAATTTTGAATTAGAATTTTAGAGCAATCAGTTTTTTTTTTTTTTTTAATTCACAGATCTTCCTTCAAAGTAAAGCCATGTCTTGAAATTTGAATTCTTTTTTTTCATTTTAAAGATAATATATTACATATTGATGTGATGGAAACTTTATCTGTTACTATCTTTATAAACTTGTCAGAATTGTTGGCAAGTTTTTATATACTTATTTTTTAAACTTATGATATATTTATTGAATAACTTGCAACAAACTTTTTTTTATTTTCTTTATTCTATCCATAATAAATATCCTTTTTTCTTTTTTTAAAAAAAAATTATATTTAATTTATTATAAAATTACACATGTGAAAGGTTCGATACATAACTTGTCTTCTGTAATATCATTCATTAATTGATATCTAAATATACTGCATTACTTTTATATCAATGACATTGTTTTTAAACATGTGACCATAAAAAGTTGTTTAAAAAATAAGGATAATAATAGACAACTGTGCTATGTTTCATTTATTGTTGATATCCAGCTAGTTGTTGAAATGATTATAATACATATTTACTTGAATTCCTTTTTTCAATTGTTTATTTTGCATTTTGTGAAAAATTACATGAAATTTATGCATTTTTTTTAAACTTTATTTCACTTGTTCACATGTTCTCCTACTCTTTAAACGATAGTTAATATGCATTATGTCATAGAATCATGTTATCGATAATTAGTTTTCAAATATACTACAATCATCATTATCATATAATTGTGAAATCTAGACTTTAGAGTGTTCAGTATGATGTTATTTTAATCTTTTATTGGCATATTGATTTAAATATTTTAAAATAAATTTTCTGTTAACCAAAAATATTTTATTTCAAAAAATTTTTGTAGAAAAAGATTAATTACTTTTATTTTATCAATTATTTTGCTTAATAGTTTGAAATAGTAGAAACAAAAAGATCATAAATAATTTTTTTTTTTTTTTGAAAAAGCCAACATAATAACTATAAAGTTGATTTCTTATTCAAAAGTTCATTGTTACTTATTTCGGGTACATTTCATTTTCAAGATCTCTTAGCTCGTCAGACTATTCAAATTTTGTAAATAAAGTTGCATAAAGTTGCAAACGTTATGAACAATTGCCATGTAATAAACTTAATGTTATAACATTGCCCATATTTTTTCAAAAGTTCACTGATGTAGTTAGGGTTCCTAGCATTATATACACTCCTTTTATATTCAATTTATTATTTAACTGATTAGTTTCCTTTCATTATATTAAATAATAGTTATATATTTCTATAGAATATGATGCATCAATGTGAATAGTTTTAAATGTGCAAGATGTTCCATAATCATCGTCATTATTATTTAACTTCCACCAAACTGTCATTGTAAAGAACCCCAATCAATGTCTAATGGCAGCATTAAACCTACCGAGATTAAATTGAGGGGTACCAGTTTATCTGGGAAGTAAAAGCAGCCTGTGCACAATGCTGACCACATTGCTACAATTAGTTGGCCTGCACTGTCTGCCGTTGATCACGAAATTGAGGAACCTTAACCTCCATGACACCCCTGGCCCACAATGGGCTGTTATGGGACTGCTTTACTTTGTTATTTTACTTTTATTGCATGCAATGATTATAAGAAATGCCTTTCAGCTTCATTTGACAAATAAATTTGTTTTAATGAATTTGATTCCAACTGTTATTGGATTTGGGCCTTGATAATAATTCATTTGATTTGTTATAAAGTTTTCATTTTTTTGATAATTAAATATTAATTTGATGCTGCTGATTTGTAAGTCCTAATTAGTTCAGTTTTTACAATGATTTTAAAAATACATATTATGGGAAGTTATTATGAAACATTCTATAGTTCTATGTACATTCTATAGTACATAGTACGTTTCTGCAAATAATTGTTTCCTGTGGTACTGCCCTAGAGTAAAAATTTCTTTAACGAATAGAAATGTATAAAATTTTGACATATTGCGACACATTGTTAAGCTGACCTTTGATTTAGATATTTAATTGTAGTAGTAAATAAATATCTATGAATTGGGTTCTTACACTTCATGACGAAGAAGACCATGTATACCCACACATATGACCTATGACGTCAGCGCCAGCTGATCGTTTATAAGCAAAATACCATTTTAAAATTGAGCTAAGTTTCACCACATAATTTAGAATGTTAATTAACGTGAAGTTAATTAAATACAGTGCTGTATTTCACATCGAATTTGCTGAAATATAAATCTTTCTCGTCTATGTCTTTTACTTAATTTAGATGTATCATTTGCTTGTATATTTTATTGTAATCGTTATATTTTTGTTTTGTGTACCTGGTAATTTTCATGCATAATTAATTTGTTTATGTTCTACATGGCTTCATGTCTGTCTTTGCATTAAGTAAGAAATATGTAGTGAAAGAATTGAAATATTTGTGAAACAATCATCACGAAAAAATATAGAACGTGTCTCTTAAAGGGAATTGATACTTGACGCACTTCAGTTACTCGAAATAAAATGAAAAGAATAGTTGCTTACATAAACATGCGACGTTTCAAAAACAATCAGGATCAAGATACCCACACTACACCACTTGCAGGTATCACATTGTAATTTATTAAAATATTAATACATTACTTTTTCTACCACTAGATAAAATAATTTCTGAAACTACGAAAATTCCACAGTTGCGGGAAGGTATGGTTTCATACCATTTCCTAAAATTTTTTCCTATTCTTATAGCCCTTTCAGGGACAGTTGGATAAAAATTGCTCCACTTATTTTTGACAATAATATAAAACAATAAAATTGCAATAGCTTTTTATCTTTTCAACTACACAGTTTTTGATGGAACACTTTTACTACATGGAATGACCACAATTAAGGTTCTTATTGACTAAAATTTTGGTAACCTAGCTCAAAAAGAATTTAACTAATTGCTTTATGGTTGTTGGTATTGCAGGGCCTTCTGCAACAAGGGTTGATGCAGCAGAGTCTTCAAAACCTCCAACTCCAAGCCAGCCAAGCTGCAGTTTCTCTACCTCAGGGAGTCTTGTCTTCTCAAGCAGCTGCCACTGTGGCTGCAGCTGCAGCAGTCCAGCAGCAGTTCCAGCAACAAATGCAGCAACAGTCACATCATCATCAACAGTCACAGTCTCAACAACAGCCACGACCTCAAGCGCCTCCACAGCCACCTCCACCACCTCTACCTCCTACCTCTTTACAGTCATCCCAACCAGTTATCATTACTCAGGCACAAATGCCTCCAGCACAGAAGGTTAGCACGGCTCTTTAAACGATGGCTTCTTTTTTTTATCAATGGTTTTCTATAACATTTTAAGAGTGGAAAATTTGTTTCAATTTCTTTTTATTTATAGTGGTGACCTAACCATAACCTGTATGTTCATATACTGCTTTATGTCACTACTAAGGCACAACATTTTATGTTGCCTGACATGCCCAGATCATTATTTTTCACTATTGCATGGGCATGTGAATATTTTATCAGGCCCCTACAAATTTTGACTGAAACTTATTTAAGTGCCATATAATAGAAACCAAAAAATAGAAAATCAATTATATTTGATAAGACCTAAGTGCAATGCATGCTGAAGAGCAAGTAACACTTGGCAATACTACTTCATATAACAATAATGCTTTGTAAAATATACTTAATACTTCTTTGTTTATATTTTACTCTTTGACACTTTTAAATTAATAAAAATATTGAAAATAAAAGTCTTGATCTTGGTATCAATATTATTTTTTCCATGACAGATTAATAATAGGTACATTCAAATGGGTGTACTTTCATATGCATTCAAAAAAGATATGTAGGCACATAGAAGTTTATTCATGCATATATTTTGCCTCAAGGCATGTAAAAATTTTGATATTTTAAGAGTCCTACTATATGTATCACTAGTCTTATAATGTATCACTAATATTAGATTATAGTCTTGCTGCCATAAATTTGAACATTGGAGGTTTTGATGATCACTCGCCCTCTCCCCCCCCCCCTTCATCTAACTCAAGTATAGGTTAATTCTAATTAAAATTCATCAAGAAGACAAGTTTGCCTCAATGTGGGAGTAAACACATTCCAGATTAGTTTAGAGTCACAAAACTTTAGAACGTAACATTAACTTTAGATTAGTTAACTTAAATCAGTTTTACTAAGTAAATAATCATCAAATATGAATTGAAGGCCTTCATATTTTTATGAAATAAGGAAAAAGGGAAAGTCACAAGTTACTAATCGTTTGATTGATGTATGAATCTTTCATAAACTAGTCCTTGTCCTGGTCTCTGTTAAGAAGATTAAATGAAGTTTTTATTTTCTTTTATGTACAAAATAAACAAATCAGGAAAAGGAATTAATAAATATAATTTATTTTTCAGAGTCCAGTTCACCAATCAAAACCTCGACCTACTGAACCAAGTCCTGAAGAAATGACGGATTTGGAGGAGCTTGAACAATTCGCTAAAACTTTTAAACAGAGAAGAATCAAACTAGGTTTGTTTTAAATGCTCTGTTTTCCGGTGCCATTTTATAACTTATATCGTTTTATTTTCTATATATATTGCTGTATGAAACTCTAACCCACTGAGAAGCCAAATAGACAACTAATTTCCTCATTCATGTTAATAAATCAAAAAGCGTGGGAATGTGTTTCACATAAAAATAATACTTGCCTACATTGCATTCAAGTAAAGTATACATTGCATAATCTTAAAAAATATTTTAATGGGAGACACAACTCTCAACTTTTCCAAAAATCTACTTTTTTTTGTAACTTCAGAGCCTTTTCCTGGAAACCATACTTTTTACTCTGATCTCAGTTCAATTTTTTAGGGAGCAATAGTGTATTGCATAACATGCAAAATATATGAGTCCTCAATCCTTACAGAATCTTTTCCCTCAAAGCCTATTTTTTCATGCTCTTCCCAGTTAAATTTTTCAAGAAATGGAGAAAAAAAATAAAATGTTCACACCATTGTTTTTTTTTCAACGCCACCTGGGTTGACATTTTGTCAATTCAGGCATAATAAGGACAAATTTGTTGGCCACTCTTTCAAGGGCACCATATTAGGTGTTGCTCCCACAGTAAGGACTAGCACAGAGAATGAATGCCTTGTGCGTGATTCAAACCCAGGACTTTTCTGGTGCAAGGCCAGCTCCCTAACGCCTACACAGTTTGCTTGACTTTCACAGCTGTGTAGAAAATTAAATTATATTAAACAAATTAGATTAATAGTTTCTGATGTATTGATAAAACAATGTTGAAAATATGCAAGGTTTCCTGAAAAGCATGATTGATTGAAGTTTGCAAATTCACATGCTTGGCCTTTCTTTATAGGTCATGGTAACTGCTTCAAAGCTTTTATATTTGGAACTTTCATTATACAGCTCTGGTTCCTTAGTTTATTTCATAACAAATTCATAAATCTTTGTCCAGTCAATCTATAACGTTGACTCTATTCTCAAAGAGTTAATTCTTTAATGTCAGAAAACATTGTCTTTCTGGGGGGAAAATTGACAGATTTTGATTGATAAATTACCCTATCAATAGAAGGATATTTCTTGTGTGCTCAAAGACACTACACTCTACCTACAAAAGCAACATCTTATTTAGATTCCATGTTGAATGTTTCAAAAGTAAGACTTTTTTAGACTTATACGTCCATGGGATAAAAATTTATCTTTGGTATGTTGCAGTAAATAAATTATTATCCAAAAATGCTGTTATTTGGTCAATGATGGTGCAAATAATGTCTGGTGGATCCTTTTTAATAAATCAACGATATTTCATTGGCTGATAAATGATTACTGAATGTTAAAATCCATGTAAATAGCTGTCTGTTTTCCCTTTCAGGCTTTACACAAGGAGATGTGGGATTGGCGATGGGCAAACTGTATGGCAATGACTTCAGCCAAACCACAATTTCCAGATTTGAAGCCCTTAACCTCAGCTTCAAGAACATGTGTAAACTAAAGCCTTTATTGCAAAGGTGGCTGGAGGATGCAGATGCCTCCATGAACAACCCAGCTGCCCTAACCAATGCACACACAACTCCCGAGTCCATAGGCCGGAGGCGAAAGAAGCGCACCAGCATCGAAACGACGGTCCGGCTAGCCTTGGAGAAGGCCTTTCTGCAGAATCCCAAACCTACCTCCGAGGAGATCTCCATACTGGCCGAATCGCTGACCATGGAGAAGGAGGTGGTGAGGGTCTGGTTCTGCAATAGGCGGCAGAAGGAGAAGCGGATCAACCCTCCGACCAGCTGTTCCATGTCCTGTCCTCCATCGCTGGTGTCACCAGTTACTCCACCTAGCATGGTCATGCCCATGGCCCTAGGTGTGTCAGCTACTACTGCTACCTCTCTCGGTGTCGGTACGCCACCTCCTCCTCGCTCTCCCGGCGAACCTGTCACCGCAACAGACCTCTCCACTACATCCATGTTGGCCCATACGCCCACCGGCACCGCTCAACAAGCTACCTCAATGACGACAAATGTATCGAGAGCCTCCGCCATTGTATCGCCGACGATCAAGAACGAGTACTAGAACCACCGTTCTTCCTACACTGCAACAGTTCCTAAAACAAAGATTAATTCATATCACTGTTACTGTTTGTCAAAAAAAAAAACTATTACTCTAGGCAACATGTTGCCAGATTTATATATGGACGCTGCGAAAGAACAGTGCGCAAAATGTGGCTGCGACTTCAGAAGAATATTACCTCATTGGAACTTTATATTTTGAACATAATGTGGCATTAGCCATCTTTCTAGGGCAGGGATTAATGATGTACAGTGTTACTATCAACACTATCTACGTCTGCAGTGTCTCAGGGAACTCACCAATCTTTTCGTATTGTTTATTATTATTTTTTGTCCTTCCACTCAGGCTAATTGTCTCCTGTGTTCATCCAGCAGGACAATTTTCCTGAGTTAACAGTGTCCATGTGTCACCTTACCTTTTTAGCTCTAGATTTAATCATAATGTTGGCCATTTCTCATTGCCGTGGCCGGAGGTAAAATAAAAAAAACCATGGCGCTTGGGAAAAACAACAACCATACGAATAAAAGACAGGGAAAAACGAATAAGAACCTTTTTCTACTTCCAGATTGCTCATGCAAATCGCCGTAGAACACGCCGCTTCTTACTTAGATAACTATCTCAATTCACATTTCTACATAAAAAAATGTATATTTGTAATTTTATGAAATTAGATCGCGGTTTTAGCCTTTCTGTATTATAAATTTGTAAAGTCAGTGCCATTCTCATAAAAAAAAATATAAAAACTCAAAGAAACGACAAAACAAACAAAAGTTTTTGAAACACTTGTTAGTGAATATATTAAGTTTATAAAACTTTGTAAGTACAAATAAAGACTCTAAAAAAAACGAAACATAAACTTTATCAAGAAATATATATTTAATATTTTGATAAATAAACCTTTCTCTTCTTCCCCGTTATTTTGAAGCCGCTAGAGTTCTGCGCGTTCTATGGTGATTAACTCCAAACAATGTAATCCAAGCGCCAATAAGAGGTTTGGCAAGAGAACGCTAGTAACTTATTTGCCGCTTCCCAACTGGCTCTTCCTAGTTCCTTTTTTGTCACTTGTTGTACTGTACATAACTGCTGCTATGTTTATTAGCAGGGAAATGTAGTTCTGTAGTTTGTGGTGTTTTTTATACCGACGTCTTCAAAGCAGCCCGCTTAGGTGCGCAGAACCATGATTGGGTTTCTCTTTCAAAGAACTCAGTCATGGTACTGCAAATGGAGTTTGAAACAAAAAGTGGCAATTTGTATTTAGGAAATGAACCATCGCTTGCAATGGATAATCCTGTTCTGGTACATGGGGCTCTACAATCTCAGGGTAAAAGCAAGCCAGGAAGAAAGGGACTTCGGGAACTTTTAAATGTCAACCGACTATTGGCTTTTCATATTCGATTTTTTTTTCACTTAATAATAGTTTTGAACCACTTTTTTCATCTTGCCGACAATCATGCTTGTAGAATTGCGTCACAAATTTTTCTCTTCGAAATACCCATGCACATCGAATGACATCATCACCTTTTAGCAGAGTTTTGCCACCAATTTTACCCTTTGAAATTGCCATGCTCATATAATTTCATTTTAATTTTTCACTTTGAATATGTTAAGACCTTTCTGCTCTTGTATGAGCAAACAAAACAATGATGTGTACATGATTTCTCCTAAAGAGAAAGATGCTGACAAAAATCTATTCACAAGATCATCAGTAAAGTGATATATAGGGATAGAATTCTTTGTGTAATACCATCTCTGAAGAGAAAAAATGTATAAGAATTCTTTTTGCATGACCATCTCCGAAAGCAAAAATTGTAACTGAGTTCTTTGGCCATGATCATCTTCTAAGGCAAAAATTGTGACAGAATTCTTCGTACATGACCATCTGTAAAGGCATAAATTGCAACTGCATTCTTTGCCCATGACCATCATCTAAGGCAAAAATAGTGTCTGAATTCGTTGTGCATGACCATCTCTGAAAGGGAAAGGGTTACGTATTTCTATATGCCTGAATGTCAGCAGATTAAACTAGCGATGAATTTATATAATAACATTAAAATTTAATTTTATCCCTTCAGATAAGAAAAAACAACCGAGGTCCCTAACTTTCCCAAAACGAATATACCTCATTCTTAGCTTAGAAGTTCAAACAAATAGTCTCTTCTACCGTAGCGTTTTCTCTCCCAACACTCGTTTTTGATGTGCACCTAGAGGGCCGCTGCCTAAGGGCCGGCCACAAATGCGTCATCAGCCGGTCCGTCTGGGCAATGACACCTCCTTCCTTCACTTCATCGTCACTCATTCTTTCATCATTGCAAGCAATTGAAATCAAAAAAAGCAGCTCAGGCAATGTTATGCACACAAGTTGGTTGTATAACAGAAAAAAAATAATAAAATAAAATTAGTGTGGCTTAGTGAATACTGTATTCTGAACAAATGCAACTAAGCAGCTTCCTAGACCAAAGTTCACTTTTCCTACTATAGATGCTTCGAGATTCACTTTGAAAAATTCTTTTGAAATATTATTTGATAACTTTATACGGTACGTAAATTCGCTTAATTTGGCTGGCACTTGGATCTGACAGCATTAATTATTAAATTTTGCCCGGTGGAGAAATGGCAAACTGTAAAATCAACTGTAGTTTATGCTTTTTAAAAGCAAATAGTTCTTGCCTTTTTTTTTTCCTTTTGAAAATTCACTGTATATACTTTTTTTTTGTACATTCAAGGCAATGAAGTACTATCATTTCTAATATGTCTTGTATGTATTGATTTTTATTACTTACATTTTGTTTCATTGCCAGACCAGTGGCCAAGCTGAAGTATCAAATTATCATAGAAACTGAACGCGTATAATTTTCTTTTCAATTGCTTGTTGCTATGATTCTTAAATTATTATAAGTTCAGAGAATGAAAGTATAATTTTTTAATGAATAACTATGAAATACACTTATCAACGATAGTTCCTCGGCGTCCGCCCAGCTGTTTAAAGTTCCTCAAGATATTTGGAAGCCGCATCAAATATATGAAAAGTTTTATGTAATTGTATAAATGAGTATGCATTAGCAACCTATGAGCTGTAACAATATATAAGAATATATTCAGAACTCGAATGTTGATTACTTGAAAATCATACAAAATAAAATTAAAAAATAACTTATGTCTCAGCAGAAATACTAAATAAAAAAATGCAATTCTAATATGGTTTAAAATATTCATAAATAAGTTTAAGTACATTTATTATGTACAATTATTTATAATGCACTTAAAAAAAAATTATTATGATTAAGTACAATTATTTATTATGCACTTGCTTAAATACAGATCAATTAAGTTTTTGTAAAATGTATCTGAATTAAGTTATAAAGTTCTATCTGAGTTAATGTAACTAAGTTAAGTTCTATTATCTGATTCATGATTTCTGTAAATAATTTTGTCCCTAAATTATTCATCTATTAACATAAACAACTAAAACTTTTTTTTCTATTATCTGATTCATTGATACCATAATTTCATCCTATTTTACCATAAATAATTAAATTATTTTTAAATTTTTCATTTGAACCACAAATTCCATAAATAGTTTATCTAACAGACATAAATAACTATATGAAAACTTTGAATGACTATCTGACAAGTTTTTTTGATTCCACCAATAAAATTTAAAAAGCTAAATGAATATTCAAAAGAATTTCTGAAAGAAATTGAAAAATTAAAGTTTTCAACATTCAGTTCTGGCATATAAGATTTATCCCGGCATGAAACATAAAGCAATAAATGTTTCCTTCACATTTTGTCCATACCCATTATGTTTATGCATTTTATTTTGCTTATTAATTTCTCAAATCTCGGGATTTTATTTCTTTTTTTTATTATTCAATTTGAATAGATTTGTTTTTTTTTTAAATGAACGACTGCTAGAACAGTATTTGTATATCATTCAATCCCGTCATTCTGTAGCTTTGTCATGAGCTGTCATCATACAGTGGCATAAAGGCCCCCCACTCACAATCATGATATATTTTTGTTTTTCTTTTACAAACTGAACTGATAAAAAATAAAGAAAAGGCGATATGTTTGAAGCCTTCCATTTGGTGCTTTTTTGGTGAAGGTTCCTATTTAGTAGGGGCTCTCAGCTTTGACCTAAAGTCCACCTCTTGCACAAGAATAAATACTATTTTGGAGATATGTACAGGATGTGGCACCAATAGGTCAATCCTTGGAACTCCTACAAAACTTATCAATTTTCGGAGTGTTTCGTCTTGGATGAAGCTCTCGAAGTAAATATATGACCTTTTCTGGCTAAAGCAGATTTTTTTAACTAAACACCCGAGAGAGGGCGCTTCTGACCATCAGCTTAATTCACTTCAGGGACTTTCTATACTAAACTAGTGGTTTTAGAACTTGCTCCACCTGTCATTAGGACTACTGAAGAGGTCACTTCAAAAAAAAAATTTAAATTTTCAGGGGTGAAGCAATTACCAACCATTGCTAATCAGTTGTTTATAAAATGACTCACTTCAAAAGAGATGCTTAAGATATAATTTGAAAGTTTAAAAGTGTAAGCAACTGGCTGGCATTAACAACGGCAATATTACGGCAATTGGTTAAATGATAATAGTAAGGTGATCTAGTTCAGCTTCTGGCTTGGACATCTCTACTTCAAAATCAGGCGCCACCCCCTGATTGTTTTGGAAAATTAGAAAATGTGTTTGTTTTGTTTACTAAAGAAATATTGTCGAGGTGACAGTTATTTAAATCTAAGAATGGGTTAATTTATTTTAAGTAATGTATTATTATGTTATGTTTTATAACATCTATTGTCGTATGGAGTTTTGTTATTTGTGTGACCTCTTCAGGGCATTGTTTCTTATATCGTGTGCGTAGAGTGGCCCGCTCAAATCAAAGATTAGATGTCACATTTTTAGCTATGTATTCAACCAGCGAGACCAGTAGTTTACAGTAAACTCTGTGTATTTCGAAGTAACTAAGTAATTCTGATGAAAATTTATTTTAAAGTAATTGAATCGTAATAAAAAATTTATTAATTTAGCAAAAAAATGGGGGGGGGTAAATAATCAAAGCATTCTATTTCGAATAATTTAATTTGGAATTAATTTATAAATAAGGAACAATAATTGCTTTTGGATTTAAATTGCACTTAAAATGTGTTTTGTTTTTTAAATACATCAAATAGCCTGTTGATACTTTTATCTGCATTGTAATATTTGTCATATACCATATTAATTGTTCAAACTTCCATAAATTTTATGTTCCAAATGTACTTCAAAATTGGATCATAACTAAAAGAATGATTAGTATTCGGAATTATTTTGTTATTCGAAATTATTTGTTAGACGACTTTCATACGTTTAATAACCCAAATGTATTTCAAAATTGAATCATAAACTAAAAGAAGAAATAATATTCGGAATTATTATGTTTTAGAAATTAAGTTAAACGACTTTCATACGTTTAATAATCCAAATGTATTTCTAAAAGAAGGAATAATGTTCGGAATTTTTTGTTTTCTAATTCAAGTCTGATGAATTCTATATCCTTAATAACCCAAATGTACTTCAAAATTGGATCACAAAAGAACAATGGGCATTCCTAATATTATATATATATATAAATTCAAATTTAACGACTTTCATACGTTTTTTTTTTAACTCAAATGCACTTCAAAATTAAATCATAACTAAAAGGACAATTAATATTAACAATTATTTTTTTATGAAATCAAGTTTAGTGACTTCGTTCTGTATTTTCCTAAATAAACTTCAAAATATAACGAGTTTATTGTTAAACTAATTCATTAATTTTAAAAGTACATGCTTAAACTATCAAACTGTGTGAAAATGGTTAGTTGGGTGAAAAGACTGTTATATTTGGCATGTTTTGATAAAGTAATTTCTGATTATGACAACTTTTGTGTGATTCTATTTACTAGAAGAATTGCAATTTATTATTGTGAAAATAAAATCAAAAATTCTTTTATTATTTTGATTGTTAAAGATATAGTGATTTATGCTTTTATTTGTGTGTATTATGTATATTTATTTTATTTTAATAGAGAGCCCATTCTTTTAAACATTTGTTACATTTAATAATGCTGATTTTTGTTGTTATTATTATTATTGATAGAAATGATTTGTTGTAACTTTTGAAGGTTCAAGATTTGGAAGAAAAAAAGAGCAATCTTTGAAAAAAAATCGTTTTTCTATTAAATTGAACGTGCATTTACTCATAAATACTAACAAGTAGCTTAGAAATTTTATACATCATGTGTATTTAAGCATCAAAAAATGTCTCGAATTTTTCTCCAACTCTAAAAAATTTCGAATTTAGGATTATTAATATGTGAAAAAAACAATAGGTTTAAATCCAAAAACGGGTATCTTTTTTGGTCTTTTTAATAGAAAAACCGAAATGCTCCTTTTAAACATTTCAAGTTTGTTCTATTTCTTGAGCAAAAAAAGTATATATTGTAATTATTGAAGTATGCTAAAAATGACGCTATTGTAATTATGATACATTTGTGGATGTTGTTTATGTCCTATATTGTTGTGAGCAAAGTTATATAGGCCAGTATACACAGCTAAATGAGTGATTGTCAAAATAATTTTAAATCCATTTTTTTCCCATTTTGAAGGAGGAGGCTCAAGAATTTTAGATTAAATATTTTAAAACATTTTTATTCCAATTTTCAGCATAATTCATGCATTTTTTGGTTAATTTTTAATAGTTTTCTAATTAAAGGAATTTCTTTCATTACTTTTTAGGTCAAAATTTTCAAGTAATATTTTTGATTTTTTTTTTAATATATATATATACAGTGATGGAATTCAAATAACGTCATGAAATATGATGGAACTGTTTTTAGGTCTAAATTTGCAAGTAATTTTTCTGAAACTTTTTTTATTTTTTATACTATGATGGAATTTAAAGACTAGTTCGCTTAAACAACTTTCGCAATTGTTTTTGGAAAAAAAACATCTAAATTAATTTATGAAACATTCATCATGAATTTCTTTTTATTAAATAAAACATACTCATAATTAAAAAAAGAAAAAAATCAGAATAATTGTATTCTATTTCGAATTTTCAAACAATTTTTGCGGATTTCATGTATTGGTTTTTTCGAAATTTAAGAACGCATACGCGCTTCTTGTCTGGATTCCATTTTCGGCTTTACATAATAAATTTGCAGCGCATGAAGAAAAATCCTCTATTATAATTATTTTGTTTTAGTTATAATCAAAATGGAGGGGGGGGGAATTAAAAGTTGTAATCAGAAGGGATTTCTTTTTTAAAACTACTGAACTTAAGCAACAGTTTATGTATACTAAATATTTATATTAGTATTTTTATCATAAATCTTAACCTTTATTTTATTTTTCAATAATATTTAAATTTTTGAAGACTTGTTTTGTGATAGTTCCTAAGAAATTCCTGCAAAAAAAAAATACTAGAGAAACGCTTAACAAATAGTGTGGCTAATGCTGAAAACTCTAATGAAAAAGTAAACTTTTCTAAAAAGTTTGATCTAAAAGTTTTGTGCCTCCTGTAGGAAACGTGCAACAAGAGAGAAAAAACAGCCCTTTGATCAGGTTTAGTTGGAAAGGAAAAGAAAGAAAAAAATCGTAACACAAAATGACGTGCTATGATTTGGGTGATATGATTGCAAAATTAAAATTATTGCAAATAAATTCAAGGACTAGTGCAATATATCATAGTTTTGTGAAATATTAAAAATTATTTGTTAAAATTATTAGATATTTGGTTGTTTTAGTAGCGTTGTTGAAAAGAAGGAGAAGAAAAAAAAATGACAAAAATTGTAAATTGTTTTTTGCTGTTTGCTCAATTTCAGACCCGATTTTTGGTAAATAATTATCTTTAGGTTTGAGCCGTTTGATGTTATAAAAGGTGGAATATGATTTTTGATGTTACGAAGTCATCATTTTGTTTCCTAAGAAAAAAAAAATGCTCATTACTAAACATCGTTGAAAAATCATGTAATTTATGTATATATTTTATATTAGAGTATACTCATGTGTATTAGAATATTTGTATGTTGATCTACCTCGTTTTTATTTTTTTTTTATTTTTGAATTATTGTAGAGATTACTTTGAGTGTATTTATATACTGTAACCTGACCAAAGGGATAACTTTCCTCTGATGAAGTATTATAATTTTTTCTTTCGTTTAAACATTTTTTTTTTCCATATAACCCTTGCACATTACGCATTGAAGCAAAAATTTACTAATAGCCGGGATCAGGGCAGGGGTCCACAACAAGCTACACCCATACTGAAGTGCCAGGATCCCCCTGCCCTGGGCCCCGACACATTCCGCTCCTCATGCCGCCCCCTTGCACAGTGAACTGTGGTCCGTAAGGTTGCTTAGATGCCGGCTCTTTTACGCCCCCTTAGGGGGTGCTCACTTTAAA